CTTTCCCAACTTTAGGGTTTTTTTTTTGAAAGTTATTTACAATGATTATAAGCAGAAAGTTGAAAATAAAGTAGGAAAAAAAATAAAAGGATACAAAACAAGCTGTTTCCCACTAATAGCTAGACAGTTATCTTCCCAGTTGTATAGGAATTGAACAGAGAAAGAAATAAGGGGTAGGCAAGGCCTGCTGGCTGGAAAGATCCAATGCCAAGCCCTCAGTCTGCCAGTCATCTGTGTTAGGACAAGTTACCTATCTTCTGATCTTCAACTGGTTATCTCCTGCAAGGGGTCTTTTGAGGACTACATCATGTAAAATATGCAACACACTTAGAACCACATACACAAGATATGTAGTAGACTCTAACAAGGAGAACTATCATCAGCGTTTTCACCAGTTATTCACAAATATTCCATCCTATGCACTGGGCCTCGGGAAGATGTGAGGATTTGTTGTTGTTGTTTGTTTTGGTGCCATTTTGGGGGGCTATCCCTGAGGGGTTTTTTCCCCCCCCTCAAGGCTCGTATTCTACCCCTTGAGCCAAGCTCCACTTTTGGCTTTTTGGTAGTGAACTAGAGGTAAGATTCTCACAGCCGGGCGCTGGTGGCTCACGCCTGTCATCCTAGCTACTCAGGAGGCTGAGATCTGAGGATCACGGTTCAAAGCCAACCCAGGCAGGAAAGTCCGTGAGTCTCTTATCTCTAATAAACCACTAGAAAACCAGAAATGGCTCTGTGGCTCAAGTGGTAGAGTGCTCACCTTGAGCTGAAGAGTGCAGGGACAGCGCCCAAGCCCAGAGTTCAAGCCCCACCACCGACAAAAAAAAAAAAAAAAGATTCTCACATACTGGTTTCCTGCCGTACTGGTTTCAAACTTTGATCCTTAGTGCTCAGCTTCCTTAGTGGCTGGGATTACAGGAGTGAGCCACTGACACCTGGTGTATGAAGTTTAGTTTTAAGCATATTATCTACTTAAAGACGACTGAATAAACCCTGGATGAATAGTTAAGAGTATCTCCACTATAGATAAGATTACTCAGAAATACTCTACTGAGGAACATTCATAAATAGTGTACTGAGGAACATGCACAAATACCACCTTCATTTGCAAAACTTAACCACTTTTTCTCCATGGAGAGCCACAATTTATGTTCTTATATTTATATGCAGACATTCTAAACTCAGGGTTCTCATTTGACTTTTCTGCTCAAGGATGGCACTCTATCACTTGAGCCACAGCTCTATGTACTGCTTTTTGGCATTTAATTGGAGATAAGAGTCTCATGGACTTTCCTGCTCATGTTGGCTTCAAGTAGCTTGGCTTACAAGCATGCACCACCAGGCCTACCTTGCATCCTTTCAGATTCATTGAGCTTTTAAAAAGACTGTATGAGAGATTTCTAAAAGAAAACTTCAAGAACAAGATCTGGAGTCCTTAGAAACTCTCATCCTTCTGCTTCTCATTTGAGACTCATAAGGCCTTTGCAGCACTCCCTGAGGTGTAGCCAGACTAGTTTCCAATCTCCTGCTCTTCTTTTCCAGCTTTCCAGCTCCTGTTCAGAGCTATTTAATTGACTGGGCCCACGTTACTGGGGTTTTTAGTTGTCTGATTAAATTGGAGTGTTCAAAGCCAAATTTCTGAAGACAGTCAAGGGAAGTTGGAGGTACGGGTTCTTTATTTTTCTGCTTTGGGGGAAAGCTCAAGAAACTTTCCTTCCTAAACCCCAATAAGCTGCTCCTACTACTCAAAATTTACAGCGGAGGGACATTTCATTTTGCCAATTAATAACACACTTTTTCAAGAGTGAAAATGACCTAAAGCCTCTGCGCACAGCTCTTTGATCACTTCTTCTTAATAACTGTAAGGCAGAAATAACAGCATCTCAGACCTCAATTGAGACTGCTTCAGAGAGCAAGCACCTAATGAATTTTTATGTTTCCCTTCCCTGTACTTTAGGGCATTTTGACAAACTTGTTGTTTATTGGGGTGGGAAGTGTTTGGGAGGGGGAATTGGCCAAAAGGAAAAGTGGCTGGCTGGCTTAATTATTTCTCTTTGTGTATAAAACTATCCTTTGTAGTGAAGAGGCGCGGTGCGTGGCCTGGGATGAAGCGCTTTGTTAGCTTTATTACCAGTGGGAAAGGAGATGTGAGCGTTGAGTCTAGGAGCTTTGCCTCGGGGAATGGCATCATGGGAGTGTGGTGGACGGGCCTATTAAAGGCATGTGTGGTTCCTGGGGGAGAAAAAGACCTTTGAATAAAAGACAAAATTGTTTTTGTATTCCCAGTCAGAACCTATGCCCACCGTCCTGTGAGTATGTATCCTTGTTAGGTGGGAACCCAGAATTTGGAAAGATTGTTAATTCTGGAAGGTTAACTCCTTGCATTCATGCTTTTAAGTTGTAAAGATGAGATGGGTCTGCGTATAACAGGCACCGGGTCATAATAAAAATTCTCAGTTCTAGCTGTAGAAACTTAAAAATATATACCTTCCACTTGCCAACACCCTCCTTGAACTTGCAGGCTGAATTTCTGATTCAGAGATTCTGGTAGGATTGAGTAATCTATGTTTTATGAAGTGTTGGCTGAGTGTGACAGGGTATATATGAAATCTCAGCTGCTAGGGAGCTGAGGGAGGAAGGCTGCTGTTTAAGGTCAGCTCGGGTGGTTAGGGCAAGATTCTGTCCACAAAGCAAGCTACAACAAAGAAGAAAAGAAGGACTGGCAGTGTGGCTCCCATGGCAAGGTGCTTGCCTAGCAAGCTCAAGGCCCTGAGTTCAATCTCTAATGATAAGAAGAAAGGGAAGGGGCCGGGCCCATTGTATGGAGCTTGGGCCCTAGATGCAAAGCAGCACCAAGGAAGAATTGGAGAATGCTTGCAAAAGAGATGAAGAAAACCAGCCAGGCGCTGGTGGCTCACACCTGAAATCCTAGCTACTCACCAGGCTGAGATCAGAGGATCGCGGTTCAAAGCCAGCCCCGGGCAGGAAAGTCTGTGGGACTCTTCTCTCCAATAAGCCACCAGAAAACCAGAAGTGGCACTGTGGTCAAGTGGTAGAGCGCTCGCCTTGAGCTGAAGAGCACTCAGGCCCAGAGTTCAAGCCCCATGACTGACTCAAAAAAAAAAAAGAGAGAGAGACAGAGACAGAGAGAGAGAAAGAGAAAGCAAGAGATAAAGAAAACCTACATCTTTGGAAATTAGACAACGACATACTACATAACCATATACTAAATGTGGGGGAGAGGAGAGGGGGTAGAAAAGACAGGAGCCCTTTGCTCTCCACACTCAGGCTTTGGGGACAGGCATCTGCACAATAAAGCTGCTTCTGATTCGGGAGCCTGTTTCTCCCTGCCTGAGAGCCTACCACAGCACTGCTAAACAGGCAAATAAACAAATGCTCCAGGTGGAGTCTGAGGCTCATCCGTCAGTTCATCTGTGAACTAGACTGGATTGAGAAAGGCCTAAGGAATTAGTAAGGCATACTTCTAAGATGTGTCTGTGAGAAGTTCAAGAGATAACTCATGAGCCCTCTGACCTGATAATTTAATCCACTGGATGGTTAAATATGTATAGAATTTGGGAAGTCTTGGAACTATTGAAGATGAGCCTAATTGGAGGAAATAGATCAAGCATGTCCGTAGGGGTGTATACTCCTTCTCTTCCTGCCACGCCCCTTTCTACTTCCTGTCCAATGATGTGAGCTGCCTCTCACCTGCTGCCTGGGCTTCCCTAGGTCACCTGTTCCAAGCTGCCTCACCTTCCCCTCCACGGTGGGCTGATAACTCCAAGACTGAACCAAAATGAATCTTTCTTTAAGTTGCCAATAGGTAAGAGCAGTAACTAATGTAAAAACACAGAACCTGGAAGTGTGGTTCTTAAACGTTAGCATGCATCCAAATCTGCTGGGCTCCTTTAGCCGATCCCAATCTCTAGTGTTTCTGAATTTGCTTTTCCACCAAGTTCCTAGGTGATACTGAGTGACATAAACTATGGCCCAGAGACCATACTAGCTTACTTCCTATTCTTGTCAATAAAAACATTAGATGGTAGTTTCGCTCATCATTTACATATGCCACACGGCTGTCTATGAAAGATGAGGGTATTGTTGAGTAATTGAAACCCATAAGCAGCCCATAAGCCTCAATTATGTGCTATCTAGAGCCTTTAAAAAAGGTCTGCCAACTTCTGATCCAGAGTAAATCCAACCTTGGGCTTTTTACGCAGGGGTATGGCTATGAATAAAAATTGGGAGACCAACTTTAAGTAGTGTGTGTGGTGTGTGTGTGTGCACGTGTGTGTGTGTGTGTGTGTGTGTGTGTGTGTGTGTGTGTGTGTGTGTGTGTGGTGCACACACGTGCACCAGTTCTGAAGCATGAACTCAGGGTTTGGGAGCTGTGCCTGAGCTTCTTCACTCAAAATGAATGCTCTACCACTTGAGCTACAGTTCCACCTTCAACTTTTTGGTAGCTCATTGGAGATAAGAGTTGCATGGACTTCCTGCCCGGGCTGGCTTTGAACCGTGATCCTTAGATCTGTTTTCTCAGTTGCTGGGATTACAGACATGGCACTTGGCTTTAGATAATTTTTCAATTATGTCTCTAATGTTATACTTAATGTTCTTTTTATCTGGTACCAGGGTTTGAACGCAGGCCCTTCAGCTTGCTTGGCTTACTCTGATGACTATTACTTGAGGCTTGCTTCCAACCCAGCTTTTTTCTGGTTATTTTAGACATGGAGTCTTGAAGGATTTTTTTTTGCCTAAGCTGAAAGAAAAAATGCCGTCCTCCAGGTCTCAGCTGCCTAGGACTACAGGCATGAGCCACCAGCGGCCAGGGGCATCCTTAAATTAAGAGCTATTACTGGAGGATAGGCGTGAGGCTCATCACACAGCCTTGACTATGACCAACCCTGGAGGCCACTCCCCATCATGTCTTTCAGGACTGGATGGGGAGGGACCTTCACCTGAAGTAGAGTGTGGAGCCAGGCAAGACAGCCCCCAGAGGGCTCCGATCGCGGCAAGACCAGTTCCTCTACTCCTCTGTGGTATGATACTTCCCGACAATGTTCAACCTGCCCCAGGTAAGACTCGAAATGTTTTTCAGAGATTCTCACTTGCACTTAACGTTCTGCCTTGCTCCTGAAAGGAACCTCATCATACTACGATCTCCCCTTAGACGTTTTCAATATTTTACTAAGTGGTTGTGGTATTTAGTGTTCCTTCACGGTATGCTGATCGACACATGCAAACATTGGGCTAAGGCAGTACATAGTACAGTGGGAAGATCGCATACTTCGTAGTAGCCTAGAATGTGGATTCGATACTATAAACTTGACTCCTAGCCATACGGCTCTTCTATTTCTTTTTTTGGCTTGCTATTTACATATGACCTTGAGCAAGGACAAGTTGTGAAAGCTTCCAGTGACTCAACTGAAGAATGAGAGCAAGAGCAGGCCCTACCCCATGGAGTTGTAGAGCAGGTAAAAGTAGGCGCTCATGAAGCCAGCCTGAGTACGAGGCTGGACGTGGGGCAGCGGGGTCCTCGCTCTGGCAGCACACCGTCTGCTCCCCAGTCCCCCACTCCCGTCCACAGGCCCCACGTGTCCTTTGCTCTAGGCATCTGTGTCCCCTTCCACGGTGTGTCACAGACAGCCGTGGAGCAACCCTGATCTGGGTCTGGGAGCAGGGCCCGGAGGAGGAATGGAAACCGTGACCTTGAGTCAATGTCCTTCCCTGGCTTCTCTGTGCTGCTGAGCTGCAGGGGCCGATGGTGGCAGACTCGGGACAGGCAGAGAGGTGGCTCGGTTTTGCCTCTGCCCCAGGGGGAGGTAGGTACAGGCGAGGTAGACACAGGAGCCCGGGCCGGTCAGAGGCTCTGAGGGGAAAGCCAGCACAGTGTGGTATAGAGCTATTCCACAGCTAGCTCACCAAAACACTGACAGCCCCACACCCTCCCCAGGCATGCCGATGATCCTGGCATACCATGACACTGCAACACTGCAACTGAAACAGTACACACATGCAAACACACACACACACACACACACACAAAACAATCCACACAAATGGAGCACAGTCCGGAGTTTGGACAGAATTATTAGCACGGAGTCCCTGTGGGTCTGTGAGATCCGGATGGGAACTGCACCCAATGTGAATAATGGATAAGTAAATTATGGATAAGGCCTGGGGGGGGGGGGGGTGTCCCATCAACTCCGTCTTCATTGTGAGCTGGCTCGGGAAGTCCCAGCACTATGCGCAGCACACACCACCTGTTCCTCTCAGGCTCAAGAGCCCTTCACTACTAGGACAAAGGGACAGAGCCCACAGTCTACAGACGGGTGTCCTGCAGCCTGTGCCGGGCAGCTGGGCCTGCTTCTCCCCCATGTCTGGGGCTCAGTGGGGCAGACTCCTGACCTCCCGGGCAGCACTCACTGCACAGGGGCAGGGGCCATGTCTCCTGCACCCTCTGCGTGGCAGCAGGCCTTACCACAGCACTGGCCTGTTGCAAGATAGGGCCGTTTTGCAGCTGGGCAAACTGGGGAGTAAGGAGACTGACACTTCTTAGGTGCCACTGCCTCGCCTGGGTTCTGAGCCGAGCGCAGAGCCTGAGATTCTGCATTTGCAGCAGGTTGCCGGGAGCTGGAAGTCTGGCATTTAAATCAGTCATGCTAGGCAGAGTGGGGTTGTAGGTGGTTGTGTGGAAGCCTAGTGGCTGGGCCCATCATTATTTGCCAGGCCTCCCTGGAGGCTGGGGTGGTTGTATGGACTGAATCAAGACCTGGTGCTGCCTGAGGGAACTCCCCAGCCCGGGTCAGGGAGGCAGACACCTTCATCCAGCTCTGCAGCGTGTGCAGTGGCCCATGAATGGTGTGAGCAAAGTCCTGGGGTGCCGAGGGGAGGGGAGAAGAGGGAAGAGATTCATCATCTCTGGAAGAGGGAAGGGAGGGAGAGAGAGGACGAAGGGGAGGAGTAGGGGGAGGAAGAAGAGGAGGAGGGGGAGGAGACAGAGGAGGAAAAAAGAGGAAGAGAAGGAAGAAGAGAAAGAGTGGAGGAGGGGGGAGGGGAAGGAGTAAGGGCAGGGGGGAGGGGAGGGGGGGAGGAGGAGTCAGCCCCCAGGAAGCATAGAACTGGCATCACAGGTCATTTTAGTCTGAGCAGGCAGCCGAGGCCTGTGTGCGGCGTTCCGGAACGTGAGAAGTCTCTAGAACTGGAGTGTGTCCTTGTGCTCTCTCTGCTTTTGATGAATCTCTGCTCTCCTCCAGTCCTGAGTCCTCTCCTTGGGAGCCGGGAATAAGTAGGTCAGTGGGGAGGGGCTGGGGAGCCAGGCACCTGCTCTGCCACTCCAGCAGCCTCCTGACATAAAGACCGGCACAGGGAGGCTGGGGTGGGCCCGGGGGCCACGCTGCCCCAGCTGCTCCCGGAAAACCACATTCTGAGAATCGTAGGGAGGAGCTCCCCTCTCCTGGGCTGCCCGACTGCTCCCCGAGCCTTACTATAGAAAGCTTCTGCTTTTGTGGGTCTGGGGTCTCCGCCCTGGTTTCCTAGGGGATTCAGCTGCTGTGCAGCCAGCATGATAAACCAGACACGCATGAACTCAGGAGGAGGAAGGCTTAGGGCACGGGAGGGGGAAGGGGGGAGGGGAGAGGGGGAGGGGAAGGGGGAGCAGTATTTCAGACACCGTTACAGCTGAGAGGGGGAATAAAAAGACGCATGCTTCATTTCTCACATGGAAAAAAAATTAAATGAAAGAATGTAAGAGAAGGCTGCTAAAACCATATGTAGCTGGGCAGGATTTTCTAAGAGAAAATTCAGCCTTTAATAATATTATGTGCCATCTGATTTTATCAGAAATTACAGCTGCTAAAGAATATTTGAATTTTTTAGAGTGAAAGAAAATAAAAATCTGATCATCCAGAGATAATCACCCTTATGGGGTTTTTATCTTTCTAGTCTGTTCTTTAGGCAAAAAAAAAAAAAAAAAAAATCTAATAACGGCGCCTTGATCGCTGTGGACTCTCTCTGCTCACACAAGCACTGCGCCCTGGCGGCCCATTCCGCGGTTACTGGATCGTCCGTGGCTCCTCCTGGTCCCCTAGAAAAACCCCACAGGCAGGAGATCGCTTCCCCTCTCCCGTATGACCAGTGCCTATGCAGTATCCAGCACAGCAAGGGGCAGGGATGCGGAAGTCAGACCTGGATAGAATCCCAGCTCTTCTGCCATGGGGAGGAGTTACTGAGCCCTGCCAGCCCCCAGTCTCCTCGTCTACACCATGGGTCTGAGAACAAGGTTGCTTGAAATGCTGAACTATGAAGTCATGTGTTGTAGATCAGGCAAAGCCTCCTGGAAGTCGGAGAAGGAAAGGAAGGGCCAGGAGGAAGCACAGGGGTGCGAGCTTCCGCTGACAGTGTCTAGAAGGTTCCATAAGACGTTGTCAGTCGGGGCTGTTCAGAAGAGTTCACACACACACACACACACATGCATGCATGGTGGAAGCTGGCTCACAAGATTGCAATGGAGCTGCACCATCTGCAGTCCACAGCAGAGACTGGGGAAAACCTGGGGTATAACTCAGCCCTGCGCTGAGGGCAGGAGACCAGCAGCCCCAAGGGTTAGGGGCAGGGAGATGACGGAAGGCTACACTCAGCTCAAATTCACCCTTCCTTCGCCTCTTTACACTACTCAGGCCCTCCGTCAATCAGACAACACTACACCTACTGGTGAGAACCTTCCGCTCTGCTCTGCTCAGGTGACTGATTCAAATGCCATCTCTTCCAGAAACGCCCTCAGACACAGACCCATCTAGAAATTACATGTTTTAGCCACCTGGGTATGTCATAGCCCAGTCATGATGATGCAAAATTCATCAGAAGGACCAATGGAAGAAAATGAAGACTGTCTTACTTCCTTAGATATGCTAAGATGCATTTTTCAAGACTTGTGAGAAACGTCTTCAGATAATGGTTCATGAAAAGTGATTTGGTTTTTTTTCCCCCCAGTTTTCCAGGGTCAGTCATTGGACAAGACCTTGTCTGAGGCAGAATGGCCTGCTCGGTCATCCATCCACCTTAACCAGGGTGGGTGCTGGGTCTAGTTTGAAGGACCCCAGGGCAGAACTCCCTGCTTTAACAGGGAAGCTCTACCTGGCTCTGAGGAAGGCATTTCCCTTCATCTGCCTTACAATATACAATGCCCCTAACAGAAGCCTGACAGGGAGACCACTCTCCAGGATCTAGGGAGGAGCCTTCTACAGGGTAAACACTCAAGGACTTGAGCTGAAATCATTTTCTGGAGAGAATCACTGAATTATGTAGCGGGATCTCAGGCTTAGGTCTATCTTTCTGAAACGCTGCTTGATTTCTGAGCACAGATACCTGGCCATAGCGGGGTGTGCACTACGTGTTATATACAATCGTACAGATGTGTGCCATCGTGATAGCTAGTGATTGTATTACTGGCATTGTAAGCTCTCTGCTCCAGCTGTGACTATGGCGTGCTTCACACGTATGTGCTCCTTCCTTTCAAATACTCCAAACACTTCTCCTTACGCAGCAGGAGAGAGTCCATGTTTTCCTCAGCTCGTCTTGTGTGGCTCTCCCGCTAGTTCTCCTGGGTAGCCCTCACTTCAGGCGACGGCTCTCCAGGGTGAGACTGCTCTGGTTATCCCGGGCACGTTGGGAGCTGGTGGTCTCGGCAGGTGCCAGCGTGCACTAGGCCAGTGATGGTGGCCGCCTGAGCTGGGACTGCTGTTCCGTCTGCTTCCGTGGAAGCGGAGCCCACCACTGTGTACAGGACATGGAATTCTCAGTCAGGCGTGGGGAAGAGCCTTGGCACTGCCAGTTCCCTGCCAGGGCCTTCGGATGAGCCGTTTCACTTCTGTAAGCCTTACGAGCCAGTGGCATGAGTGCCCAACTTACAGGGTCATTACAAGGATTAAATGGGGTAAATGCATCGCAAGGACCTTGCAGGAGACCTGACCTGTGGGAAGCCTTCGGTGACAGGAACAGTAACTGGAGTCACAGCTCAAGGTTAGAGTAACAGTGACCAGAACCTGATTTTAAGAGAAAACTATATGAAGTGTAT